TATTGCTTTTAGTTTTGACGTAAAAACTAAAAGCAATACATGATTGGTCAAGACTTCCCAACACCCACTAATGGGATACCGGGAAGTATAAAAGATGTTGTGGTCAAGAATACGGGAAGATTTTGGGGAAAGACTTTTGATTTTGTACTGATGCATCAGTAGTAGAAGTAATAATAAATTCCCTGACCCGTCATGGCTGGCAGTATTTATTCTGTTATTAAAGTAGCAATAACAGCTACCTATTCAGACAATCCCAGAGAGCTGTAAAGAACAACCACTCACTCCACCATCTTGCTGGCTCCTCCCTCTCCAAGGTAATTTTGGGCAACTTTTGTCTCCAGGACTAGACATCATATTCTTATAATTACCAATTTTTCTTTTTGCAAGGGGGGATCAAGTTATCCTCCCCCAAGTCAACAAATACTTCAAGTATTTTCTAACTGAAATCCCAAGTTAGGAAATACAACTATTAGGATAAGAAATATGCCAAGTTCTATATTGAGATTCTTAAATGACTAATTTAAGCAATTATAGCATTTTAATGAAGAATAATAGTTTTAAAAAATTGGCAGAATAAGGAACAAAAGAAACTGAACTTTAAAAACTGGACTGATTTGATGTTGCATTTCTCAGTATGATCACACATGGATTATTATCTATTTGATCTACTGTAGCTTCACTGTCCTCATCCTCAAATCCAGGCTTCCCATGTCTCTGGTTCAACGCATCGAGGTTCTCTTTCCATCTGCCACAAGGCTTCATTCATTTGATTTTGCAGAAACTGTACTGCTTCCATTTTTTTCTACTTCCTTCGTCTCTAGTGAAGGAAGGTGGCTGATTTTGTTGTTGACTTACTAGCGCCACCTTTTGGCTATAAAAGAACCCTGCAAAGGAACCCATTAGTCACTCCTCAGGACAGAACATAGGCAAGGCTTCTTTTAAACACATTTTACAATTCATTTTATTACACACATTAGCTTATGTTAAATTTAATATATACGTTTAAAACTTCATAATTTTCCAACAAGTGGAAAATTACTCAAGCTATGCTTTGGGCTTCAGTTAATCCATCTCTCTCTGATTTGCAGTCATTTCTGATTCACTTCTGTTCGGTCTGTTTGGAACATCCACCTTCCCAGCCCGGAGAGACTGAAATGCATCTCGAAAATTCTGAGAACCAAAACAATACAGCACAGGGTCCAGACAACTGTTCACACCGGCTAAGATCCAGGTGGTGTAGTAGGCCGTCTCAATCTGCTGGAGAACACTGCACTCTTCTGGATAGAATTTCTTCAACACGACTCCCAGAGTTCGTACAATATTCAAAGGCAGGAAGCACACGCCAAATATAAGCAGGCACACACCTATCATCCTCTGAGATTTCAGCTTGACTTTCAGACCTTTGGCTGTGCTGCTGTTAAGGTTAGTCAATGTGTTTGCCAAGCGGCCATAGCAAATAGCAGAGACAGAGAAAGGAAGCAGGAATCCAAAGATAAACAGGAAGAAGTTAATGATGAAGTAGAAATTGGTCAGATGTCTCTGATGGATGGAGAGACATTGACTGCTCCCTTTCTCTTTGCTGGGAGGGAGAAGGATTGCATAAATCACAGCCTGGATCGCCATCAAACACCACACACATGCACAGAGTTTTCGAACAAAATTCTTACGTTTGAAGCAGCAGCTTTTGTTGAAGTGCACCACAGTAATGTAGCGATGGATGCTGATGAGAGTCAGAAATATAGTGCTGCCGTAAAAATGTGAGCTCAGCAGGGCGATCTTGAGCTGGCAGAGGAAATGGCCGAAAGGCCAGTTGTTACCCATGGCAAAGTACACAGCCATCATGGGGGTCACCGGCGTGGCGATGGCGTCACTCAGGGCCAGGTGGAACTGCAGGGTGGTTCCGGACGTCCAGCATGGAAAACGACAACAGAACACCCACAAGCTGAACATATTTAAGAGGAATCCAATGAAGAAGACCAGACACAGGAAGAAGGTGAGAGCAAAATGCTGGTTCTCTCCCTGGCAATGAGATGAGGAGTTGTTGGTGATTAGTGGTGTTGTGAAATTCCCAGCAGTGGTCACTTCCACCATGTTTTTTGTTGCAACACCTGTGAGCAAAAAGCAGGTTAGTGTTTTAGTATGATGTACTCTCCTGATTAAAATATTAATATCTGGATCATAATAAGGTTGTAGGCTAAGCTCATAAATACAAAAACAAACTAAGGCAGACAGAAAATATGCAGAGGAGACAAAACATTGAAACCTGCTTTTAAACTCAAATATGCTGTTTGCAAAAGTTGAGAACCATTTTCTTTTTATACTTCAAAAATAGAAATGAAAGTGTCAAAAAGTGGTTTGCAGTGTTGATTATCTTAAGGCATTCAAAACGTGGGCATCAATTCTGCATGCTTTGCAGTAGGCTGGTGGAGACATAATGTCCCATTCAGTGAAATTTAAACCATAAATTTTTTGTTCAATGCATTTGAGGATTTTTACTGAAATTCTCAATGACTGCCTCACTTCTGTGATTTAACATTGTGAGAGGCTTTGCTTGTGCAGCTCAACAATCCTGCTATGTTCAAACAATGCATGAAAGTCAGATTTATGTGCAGATTTCGATTTTTTAAGCCAATAGTTTGAAACTTTTGATCAGTTGATGCACAGGAAATTTGAGTTTATATGAAGGTTTTTCCATGTACTTAACCTTTGACCAGCAGTTTCCTATCTCTCTTTATAGTTTGATATTTTTGGAATTAAAGAACTAAATAAATGTGACAATACTCAAATATCAATGAACGAAGTCTCAGAAGATCCTTATAAAATAGGAGAACTGAAACCACATTTAAAACCACAATACTTTACTATTTATCAATAAAATTTTATGTACGTGTAAGCCTATTGCAATAAGCAACTTAATTGCATGATGAATTAACAGGACCTCAGTAATTTTTATTCTGATTATTAAGATTCTTTGTTTACAGAGACTTCATAATCTCTTTTATTTGTAGTTTTGGTTGTGTGAGGTTTTATTGATTGTTTTTGGTAGTTTCCTTTCTCTAAATATTTAAAGTATCCTCCTGTTCCAGAGTAAAGTGCTGTAAAATGTATTGATCTCTGAGAAGGCAGACTTGCATTATTTAAAAATCCTAATCAAAAATAATATTTAAAATCCTTCAATTCTTCAATACGATCTGTGGCAGCACAGAAATTGTATATTTTTCTCCTTTCTAGAAAGGAGACATGCTTGAATGTTACAATTACATATATATTTTTCAAAAATACATAAACTATTTTTCAACAGATGAATGCGATGCTCAAGCATTTGGATATGATAACTTTATTTTTTCATGAGCCCCCATCATTTCCTCTGCTCATCTGAACTAAAGCACAACTGGTGAGTAGGGCGTAAAGTTGTACATTTTTCGTTCTTTCTTTTGTTTTATTTATTGAAGTGAGTCAAAAAACACCATGAATTAAGCACCACATTTTTTCTGATTTTAGTATTCTTACAGAACTGAGAAACAATACATTTACACCTAAACCCAGCTGATCCCATCACACTTCCTCAAAGCAAAGTTCTGACATTTCACTGTGGTGGAATCGTGTGGCCACTCAGGGGGTTCATTTCAGTAAATCCAGGTTTTCAAACAACAAGAAAGACTTCTATCAATATTAAATTGTTTTGCATACAACCAGTTAAACACATAAGACAAAGGATTTTGTTGGTGGTTTCTTGTCTTCTTAAGGAAAATTATCTAAAATTTTATGACTGAGTTATTGCATGAGAAATTGTTCATACTTGTGCATAGCAATTTGGACAGAGGAATGTGACACTCAAGCATTTGGAAATTGATCCCAGGATGAACCAGACTTGTGTTGCTGCACAATCCTCCTGATATTTGTTGAAATTTTAAACTTGTCAAACTAGAAAGCAGGGTGTTCCAGGTGTGGCCTCAAAATACACCCAGTTACACAGTTTAGATACTGACTAAATGCATGTCAACTTATAAGTTTGAAGAAAGCTAGAAAATAAATGTCTGAAAAATGTTTTCACTTAGTTTTCTGGCATTTGACCAATAGAAATACTTTATGTAATAGTAAGGGATCTAAAACAATAGATGTTTGCTCTGATTTAACTTAAGTGAGAAGAAAATGTCTTTTTATTTTAGTGTATGATTTCAACTGTAAACAAGGATTTAAAGTTATAGTACAAAAGTTGACCAGAACAAAGTCAATTCAAATTTGAACTAAAATATAATTGGTACCATTTCCCATCATGTAAATATGGAATCTGCCTATTTTCATCACATCTTTATGTTATTATTAAGGTAATATTTAGTGCATTCGTATTATTAAGGTGTTGCTTTATGACACATGAATACATTTTTTAAACCTGGTGTCTTAAGTAGATGTACCTGATAATGCAATGATCTCATCAGTACACAGTTGGATATTCTATAAATGCTGAAACACCGGCTGAGAGGAAAGAGTTCTGCAACAGCAGCAATTGCATTTAATGAGGTTTTCACTTTCACTCATTTTAAAAATTTATTTAGCATATGTAAATGGTAAATAGCATCATCCCACTTATTAGAAAAATACCATTCATTTCACAGAATCAAATAAAACTCATGTCAGTATTCTGGGAGACTCCCACAGACAACACTAAAAGTCCCCACATGTATTTCACTCCATCCCGATTTAATTCAGTTCACTAAACATCTTTTGAGCTAAAATGTTTTACAGATCATTTGAACAAACATTGTTTAACTTCTAACTGCAGCTGGTTCTTTATAAATAGTAGTTGAGCAAGAGCTTACCAGGACCTGTTGTCAGGGTGAAAACCATCTCATCTGTCACATGTGTCAGTAGCTGCATGGGAAGTTACCAAAATGAGTGTTCTTTTTTTTTTCATATTGTAAGTGCCAGTGGTTTGTAAAATAATGTGATGCAGCGCTGCTCAAGAGCTGAACCAGAATCATAGGAAAGAATATTAACAATTTATTTTGTAAATAACTTTATTTACACCACAGATCAAATATTCCACACAAATAACTGAGTCATGTATGAAAATACAATATTTCTACACAAAAATGAAACAATTGTAGAAAAAAAAACATCCAAAAGGAAAATAATCAGATGCTGAATGCAATGCAAGAGGGAAACACCTAACGTCTATCAAAGGTGACAGAAAGAAGAAGTCATCCAGCACAGAAACGCACAACGTCCATCTGGCCAGCAGCCAGTAACAGTACTTCCTCCACAGCCGCCTCGGCTGGCGGCCGCCCTCAGACCGGGGTGGTTGGGGCGGAGGAGGAGGTGGTGGGCACCGACACAGGATGCAGCCCCAGGTCCAGAGACGTAGGCTCGTCTGGGGGCGTCGGACTCTTCTTATGGGCCTCCAGCTTCTCCGTCAGCTGACTGTGCAGCTCCTTCAGTGGCTCACTGCACTGTCACACAGCATAGCAGAATGAGTCAGCATGCAGGGGAACGCAAGAGAGCTGAGCTCAAAACAGCTACAAGGACCCTAATCATTAAATATCTCCATTACTTTATGATACAGGGAGTTCTTAGGGTTTATATTAAGAAACCTTTTAGAACCATTCAGAACTTTCTGAAGTGACAGATTTTAAAGGAACATGACAGAAGGTTGACCATCTGACACACTGCGTTTCCATTAACCATACAATTGTGTAAACTGAAATTACGAAAATATATTTGTTTAATGGAAACTTGCCAATTTTAGAAAATCTCATATTTCATTACAAAAGGTTTTAGCGCTACAATTTTTCAGTCATATCAAAATAGATGTACTTCACAAAACTGGAAAGGAAACACTTTTTTTGCATCACAAGTCACGTCATCAACAGGTGAAACCCACAAAGACGATGACAGAAAGTAGCAGGAGGATGATGATTCGTTTCTGGACAATGTGCAGCTGGCTCCACCAAACACAGTTTATCCAAGATTGTGAGGCATTCTTACATATTAAACCTTATGTAAAATAAGGTTTAATAGATGTAGCCACTCCGACACTTGAATAAGATGTAGACATCTCTGATAAATGTTGAGCACTAGTTCCATGGCTAAATTGTGTATATAATCTCATTTAACTGTTGACGTTCGTTGCTGCCATAATTTTTAATGATTATGTAAATAAACTTTAATTTGATTTCTTATTTAATGGGAACATCAAAATTGCTAATTTGTGTTTTTTTGCATTAGCAGAATGTGGACACAGATTTGCACACATTTGTAATCAGACCATTGGAACCATTGGTTCCTATACAACTAAGGTCACAATTCCACTTTTCCCTGCCAGTGGCACTGGTGCATGGCAGCTCCTCCTCTGCCAAACTGCCTCAGGACAGCTGTTGCTACTATCTAGTAGCTTTCCACCATCAGTGTGTGAATGTGTGTGTGGACGGGTGAATGACTGAATGGAGTGTGAAACGCTTTGGGGTCCTCTGGACTTGATAACTATTCAGGTGCAGGTCATTACCATTTCTGTGGCTCTAATCAGTCATTTACATTTAGATTTATGGTACAAAGGCTGAACTATGGAAACAAGGCCTGATAGCATGTTTGAGCTGCAAAGCAACTCTGACATAAAGATAGACAGAATTACCTGTCTCTCATCAGCCAGGATCTAAGCCATCTCATCATCAGGTCAGCACTGACCAGGACTCTGACCCATTCCTCATTGCATCATGGCCCACATTTTTCAATCATTTAACTTTAACCTGATCAAGAGCAAGACATGATTCTAGGAATCTACAGTCACTCAGCAAATGAGAGAAAAGCAAGTGTGACATTAAGACTGTGAGTCAGATGTGGAGCTGTGAGTGTGGGGCTGCTGGTGTGAATTCTCAAAACAGGAACTTTGCACAGGTTCATAAGATCATGTAGGTGTTACTGAGGGCCTGAGACAGTCTGAGTCGGAGCTACTGCACATCTCTGGGATGAGAAGAACTCAGGACAAACATGACGGAGGATTTTCATTAAAGTTGTAAAAAGAAAAAGTGTTAGCCATTATAGATCTAACAAGGTAAAAATACACAACTTTCTCAGTGTGTCTGCAGCAGCTGCGCCTGATCAGCCCTACCTTCATGTCGAGCCCTAAGCATGCTGAGACTTTCTGTTTACCCCAAATGAGCTGGAAGTGGAAACCGTGGAAACCATGCCTACCTGTTTTGGGGGCTCCAGTGTTTGCATCAGCGTTTCCAAATATGAAGGCAGCACTTTGTGGTGGAGATGCAGCAACATGCGGAGAATGTGTCTGTGGACATTTTCTTTACTGTGAAATAAACACACACACACACAGAAAGGGTCACATGTGCTCCCAGGTAGGAAGCCATGAGTGAGAACGAAGCCTTCTTCCTGTATCGAACAACCAAAATCATTTAATTTCCTACTAAACCATTCCAGTCCTTCTGAATATTTTAGTGAAAGCAGTCTTAAATAGTAATGACTAAAGCATGTGTAACCTCTCAATTATAGAATACAATCGTTTTATTAACATGTGCATTAAACTTAAATTTCTTTAAAAGAAAATGGCAAACCTGAAAATAAGTTGAAAAATGTCTGGAAAGTTTACAGATAGATGGAAATATTTCTCACTCATCTGTGACTTTATAAATAAGCCTATCACAATGAGATAAAATTAAAATTAGCTCAATAATTTCCCTTTGAGTGATTATTTGTTTTTTTTTCCTCCTGTCTCTCTTTCTTCCAGCCTGGATGACAAAATGTCTCGCCCCCTCTTTCCTTCAGCTGAAGGTTGAATGAGGCAGCGCTTGCATTATTAGGCCATTATAACAATAATAGTTGAAAATGACCTCAAAATACACAGCAAACGAGCTTATGACCAACTTTTAACAACATTAATGATGGAAAAACTAATCACTCTTCAGGATTGTAAACTCTGTACTGAAAACAGGAAGTGATGAAGAGGAAGAACCATATCTATATGGAACTTGAGGTGAAAGACACGCCTCATGTTTCCTGTTGGTAAGTCTGTTTCTGCAGTGTGAGGAGGAGCTGCAGGAGGAACAGACCAACTGATACATCAAGACTAAAATCATCATGAATTTGCTCAACACCAACTGATAGAAAACTAAACAGTATGGTTTATATCGTTGGTCCCTCGCTTCAGTGCACTCAAATACAGTGTAGACTTCATGACGGTTGCTGATGATGTCACAGACCCTGCAATTACCTTGAGAAAACATTTTAATCACGTCCCACAACTAATGAGAACATGACTGGATATTTGAGTATGTATCTACGACTTTGACCATGTGCTGAATAAGAAAATGAAATAAAAGTATTCTTCTAAATCCAGTTTCAAAATTATTGCTTTAAGGAGTGGAAGTGATCATGGCAGCAGCGAGAGGGAACCTACCTGGAGAAGGAAGTGAGGAGGAAGCTGTCGAAGACAACGGAGCAGAACTCCTCTGATCCAAACTCATCAGAGAGCAGGGTGAGGTGAGCAGTCAGCAGGTGCAGGAAGATGTCACCGAAAGCCATGTCATTGTAGGTCTCCACTACAGGCCAAACACACACACATATACCCTCAGATATGGGCAGACCCATGCACCGTCCAGATCTCTAATCATGAATTAAACAGAGAACTGATTGGGATGGTTATTCACCACCTACAAGCTTTAGGGAATGAGTGACGCTCACCCAAAGCAGGCAGCAACCGCTGCAGGGCATTCCTGTTCCTCAACTTGGCGATATGCAGAACATAATAGAGCCCCATTTCACAGGCCACTCTGTTGTCCAGCAGGTATCTGAGGCAGGACATACACACACCCTCCTTACTCTGCTTTATGTTTCTGTCCAACATCACAAAGACTAATGATTCCATGTGTTGGCTCGATGCACATTTCAGCAAAGGCTGAAATAGAAAAATAACTTCCACAGATGAGGTTTCATCAGCCCTCTGCCTCCGGGCTTTACCTGATGAATGCGTCTGGCAGGTTGGTGGGGTACGTCAGGGAGCTTTTCTCCTCACTGGGAAGCTTCTGCTCCACTATGAAGGTGTGATCATCAACAACCACAGACATCATAGCAGGCAGGAAGCGGGTCACCACCTCTAAATCCTGATCAAAACAAGAAACAAAAACATGAACAAATAGTTGAGTGAAAGGAAAACCTGCTAACACGTTTCATTGACATTTTTTTGTCTTTCTTATATCATTTAGTCCTTATTTAATGTCAGAGTCCTGGAAGATTATCAGAACCAGACTGTAAGCAGACAAGCAAAGCAGGTATTTTAACTCCAACAGGCTGGTTAACATAATTAACCTTTAAAACTGAAAAGTGAATCTTTTATGATTCTCTACCAGGCATCCATACTGTCCGAAGGCAAACACAGAAAGATGTTATCTTCATCTTAATGCGGCTGGATTGTTGCTCTGCATGCCTGCATTGTGCCATCACTGCTGAGGTCAGACATTTTAATGTTTTCTAAAAGGTCCTAATGGTTAGAAAACAAAACTGTCAAGGAGTGGGCCTCCATTTGGTCCTTTTTTTGAGCATGCTGCATGTTCTCCTGATCAAAAGCTAACTAACAACAGGGAGACTAAGAGATTTAAAACATGCATAAAATTCAGCAGTAATAAATAATTCTGTCTTTCCTTTCTATGTTTGTAAGACAGTAGTATATCTATGTTATGATACAACCACATGAACAATTATAGGCTGTTTATTCTTTTATTATCAGCCAGCAAAGGATCAACTGTACACATCCCAAGCAGTATCTGTCAATCCTTGTCATCTGCAGGTTTCCAAAAGATTTTTCCTGTCAGAACTCCATACTTTTCCCAAACAAGTATACATTCAAAAATTCACAATTAAATAGATAGAGAACTCAGGCTACAGGAACTGGACCAACATTGGACCGTTCCTCTAAACATATTCCGACATGTTGGATGTTTTTGTAAACATTCCTGTGAATACGCACCAAGCGAGGCTCCTTAAAAACCTGGCTGTCGATCATGTCCCACGCTCCCTGACCCAGAGACAGCATCCTGAGGAGCAGCAGCAGGTCTGGGCTGTCCTGTTTACAAGACACACCCACACATTGAAGAAAAACAATAAAGTTAGAAACTGAAAAATATCTATACAGTGTGTTGCCTAAAAGCACAACAACTAATGACATCCATTCACACTCTATACACACACACTTTAACAACCAGCCGGTGTAGTGATGATTTGACCACCTGAAATATTCCTCAACTCATTTTGTTCCACAGTTTAGAAAATAATCCTTTCCATTATCTAAATGAATTGAATTATTTTTTACTTTGGTTAAGTCTCTTGCCTGTGGTGACTAGCCCTAATGTCACTGAATGGCATCAGTTTTTACAATTTCTGTCTTTTGGAGAAAAAATGTCCAGATATTGAGTATCTGGGAAGTATTTACACACTTATCCACATTTCACATTCTGGGCTGTTCCAAATTGTATTAAGTGAATTAATTTTCTCTAAATCATCAAAAATACAGCATTATGACCTAAAGTTCTTAAAAGCATTTTTCCACATTGTCATATTGGGATATTTTTTCTAAAAACAGAAAACCACAGGAAATCACAATCATTTCAGTGAAGCTGTATATTTAGCTTTTGGTGCCTTTGGGAGAGTGGGTCAGCACCTCATCCTGCTGGGAAATAAATTCAGCCCCTCTGCAGCTGTTTGGAGTTCATCAGTTGATATTTTAGTTTTTTCTTTTTGGTTTTAAGTATTCTCATCTTCTGAGACACTGAACTTTGGGTTTTTATTATCTTGAAATTATTACCATCAAAATTACAAGGAATAAAATCTTGACATATTTCACTATATGTATGAGTATAATCCAAATATCAGGAAGCATTAAAAAATATTCAGATTTTTTGAGCTGTTCTTGCATGCTTTAGATGCAACTTCAGGGAAAAGTTTTAAGATGTTGCACAGCCGGTTGTTCTTTGTTAGTCATCCTACATAAAGACGCCGTTGACTTTCAGATTGCCTCACCCTGGGCAAAGCGTCCTGACTCAGCAGCTCCTGTACGTTCCTGATTATACTCAGGACCAGGGTGTTGCATGCAAACGGGTCACACAGGATCATGGACAGATCTCTGGAACACACAGAAACTCTTTAGTGACAGAAACATCCCAGAGCAGACCCTGCTTGTGTGCTGAAGCTCTTGGCTACCCGAGGACCTGCTCCTGGCCCTTCTTCACCGTCCAGGAAACCCTGCAGCTCTCTGGCTCGTTTGCTGTCCACAAACTTTTCTCGGATGCAGGCGTCCAGACACCAGGTGAACTGCGACAACAAACACCAATGGATTTAGCAGCAAGGACAGGCCTGGCACTATTTGGGCATGGGGGTTCATGGGTGGGAGCTCGCCTTGTGGCAGGGGTCCACGGAGCAGATCTCACTGATATCCAGGTCGTGCAGAGACATCAACAGCTCGGCTCTCAGTGTGCAGTAGTGGACGTTCCGCGTCCGCAGGAAGAGCGTCCGGAGGAACTGCAGCACCATGTCATACAGCTTCACGTTCTTCCCGATCATCTGGGTCAGCTTTAGCACCACCTGTAGGCCAAAGAGAAGCAGTTCATAGAACTGCTGAAAACCTCCTTGGATCTTGAATTTTCTCTCTGTGGAACAGCGGGACACTTTTAATCTTCTATGTTTAGTTTTTGATTTAGAAGCACTGTTCCTGATAATTCTTTTGGTTAGATCATTGATATTAATTATTTATTACAAACTTAACATTTGACAGCTTAATGCAGGGAGCAGAGTGCAGCCTGAAGGCAGGTCTGGCCAACTCACCTCGCCCTGGCGCCGGGTTTTGGGCGTGGGACTGAAGAAGTTGTGAAGGATGGAGAGGTCACTGCTGAACAGGGCTGCTTCCTTCTCCACGATGTACTGCTTCAGAAGGGGGGACACTTCGTCTCCGAACAGAGCCTGGTTGTCCTGCCAGATTTGCCTCTTCACCTCCACAGCACACACCTTGTACAGCTCTTTGTCAGCCATGACCATCTTCAGCTTCTTCTCTGGTACCTGCAGAGTGGGATGAGGATAAAAATTGGGTCTTGATCTTTTCTTTTCAGCTTTCTGTTGCAAAAGCTGCATGTTGCTAGTAGGCTTATATTTATCAGAGAGATTCAAGACCTCCATTTAATTTATGGAGACCTGGAGCAAACAGTAAGGAGTGAATAGAAGTCGTTTCTCAGAACTGAGGAGGTCACACCACCAGGAACCCACCCTCCAGTTCCTGGCCTTCTCTCATGGCAGAGCAAAATTGGACAGTGAAACCCACCCAGCATAATTAAAGACAAAACAATTAGTATCAGCTAAAAACTGAATATTGACAGACTTTAATATCCAGTGAAAAACTGATGGTATACTGCGCCTTTGCAGCTGGTTTATTGTACAATCTAATATAAACTAAAAGCCTAAAGTTCAGTGGATTTTAAGGAACATCTGTTAGACAGTTTTGCATTGCCAGCGTCAGCAGGAAGTTGATGTCTGGTTTCTTCACCTGACTGAAGGGAACAAACTGTTAGGGAAACCTTACTGTTACCTGGTGGAAGGATGTTAGCTTGGATGTCTCTAAGCAGCACTTTCCTACGAGAGCTTACTTTGGGTAGATGCTTCAGCACCTGCATCACGACTGGCTGTATGGAAGGCATTTTCACCAGAGGAAAGCTCTTCTCCAGCAGCTCTTCAAGCTTCCCATATCTGGAAGCAAATGGAAGAACACAATACAATCATCGACTCAAGCTTTCTGTTAGCTCTCACAGCGCTCTGCTCAGGAAGCATCAGAACCACAGCAGGACTCACCGGTCTTCATCTTTGCCCTCTGCAATGACAGCGACTTGCTCCATCAGCTTCTCTCGAAGCTCGTCAAAGACAGACTGGTGAAACTCCAGCCGTGGGGTCCCATGAAGGTCGAGGAAGGGCAGAGCGGACTGCAGCGTCGGCAGCAGGATGCCATTCTCCATCTGTAGTCAAGAAAGGCAACAAGAACTCATATATCTGAACTGTATGAGAAAGTTTAACGCAATCACCTCCTTTCTGGAACATTTTTCACTTTTAATTGAGTAATATTATGAGCTATCGCTACTCTGACCACTCTACGCAACTGGAATAACTCCAGTGCATGAAATACAAGCTTGTTTCAAGCAAATACACACCAGACAAAAATCTAAAGTTTATGTTGAGGTGAAAATTATTCTTCTTTCCACACCAGCTTTGTTGTTTTAATGTTGTTTTCTATCTTTTCTGCAAATGAGAACTTTCTCTGCCAATGCCTGGAAATCTACAAATAGAACTTATTTGTACTTTGGTCAAAGAAAATTTGACCATCAAATATCAAACCTAAAATTAATTACAGTATATCTCCAAACCTTTCTGGGCCAGAATATTGGCAAACAACAAAATAATAATAATAATAATTTTGCACACCGTGAAATGTAAATCTACTCATTATTATAACATTTTTCAAATAAGTTATGTCCTAACGTAAGACTTGGAACATAAACAACAAAATCTTGTTTTAACTGTTTGATTTTAAGTATACACATGGGATCTACTTGCTTTGAAGGAAAAAAAAAAACATTACAATACAGTTGTACAGCTGCATATTAGACGTTGGACTAATTACTAATATTAATACTATTAATACTTCTCTAGTTGAATAAAAACTGATCCTTTCTATCTCAGGAAGTCATCTAAACCAGCAAACTGCAAACACCAGCGGTTACCACAAAATCTGCTCAGAATAATTTGTGGATTTTGAAAATTCATAACTTTCTAGAATTCTCTCTGAAATGCACCAGATGCACAACATAAGACCCGCTGAGCTGTTGTGGTCACCTGGAACTGATCAATGGCTTTGAGAGGCTCTGTGCAGTTAGTTAGAGTTTCCTTTAAGTCCTCGCCGTTGGCTATCCCGAGCTCCGGCAGGCCCGCGAACATCCTGGCTCCGCTTGGATCTCTCAGGCTGGAGCTGATGCAGCAATGAGCTTTCCGGGTAGAATTCCTGGAGCAAAACGGTTAAACGATCCCTAAAAACTGCACAAAACAGTATTGAGCTCCACTAACAGACATAACTTCCCTTATGGTAACACGAAAACACTCCGTCGAAAACACTTACTAAGCAAAGGTTCCGGTATTTTTTATTTTTTTTTCTGTTTGGGTCTTAGTTCACTACCTGTTTAGTCCGCTAGAGGCACACTAGAGCACCTTACAGAGCTCACTTGGGGCCCCTAAAGCATGAAAGGAAACAGGCAGAGACGTGTTTTTCTCTATATCTTCTTTTTATTTCAGATTTTAATGAAATGCTGTGTATAATTTGTAGAATTACAATTAATCGTTGTATTCATGTAAACATATTCTAGGTTTGCAAAGCAACCATTACCATTAAAGAAAGAAAGAAAAAACTAATATAATCAAATCGGATCCTGATTTTAATCAAATCTAAAATCGCATTGCACAGATTGATTTGGACAGACTTTAAATGGAACTTAGCATAACGTGGGGTTTGGATTTAAGAAAAAGTAGGATGCCATTCATTTTAAAGACTCAACCAGAAAATACATTTTAGTCTGTTGTCAAGCCCCCCCCACACAACACACACACAAGAAAACACAAATACCTGTCTCTTAATTCTAAAACAACATATTGATAAGCCTCCAGAATTGTTCTAGTCATTTGCATTTCTGCAGAATGCAATATCCTGCTGACAGCAAACCACATACAATAAAGACGGCAATGACGGTCCACCATGACCATGGGGGGAGGGCCTTCATCACACTAAGACTCTCTGCAGGCACTTCATTGCTCACATTCAGCATGTATCCCAACGCCCAGCCTACTGAAGCTCCTGCTGCCTGTAGAGACACAACATTTCAGTCTCAGTGAAATCAGAGCTGAGAGTTGCAATATCATGCTGTTTATTCTGTTTACTTCTTACATTTTGCTCAAAAGAGATGCGAGGAAATGAAACTTCATCAAAATGGTACCCTTTGGTTAAGAGGACTTGGACAAAATTAGACATGGAGCAGAGATTCCTCATGTATTTTGTGTATTTCGCTGTTAAATTTGCCTTGTGAAGAAGCTGTAAATAAAAATACCAGAGTTTTTAGTTTCAATCAATCAATCAATCAATCAATCAATCAATCAATCAATCAATCAATCAATCAATCAATCAATCAATCAATCAATCAATCAATCAATCACTCAGTCAATCAATCAATCAATCAATCAACCAATCAATCAATCACATTTATTTGTATAGCACATTTCAGCAACAAGGCAGTTCAAAGTACTTGACATCATAAAAACACAAAAATAAAAAGTCAGAAACCAGAGGACCTGAGTAGTCTGTAACTTAGTTGAAGCCTAAGATGTAACTTTTTTTTTTTTAATGATTTCGCTCATGGCTGAAGATCAGTACCTCAGTCACGGTCATATTGCAGATGAGCTTGGCTGCTTCCACTGCATGGTTGGGAGATGTGAGGTCTATGTTGGTGATATCTTTGATGTATTTCTGTGTGTGGTAGAAAGCTGAGAAAGCCTGTGGAGAAACAACCAGAACTCCATCTAATCAAACCATTTATCTTCTAAAGCCTGCTCAATAAGGCCCACATGGACAAAAAGGCTGTGCAAACTAACAAGGGAAAAGAGAAAAACAGAAAATGAGAACAATAAAAATAACCATGAGCAACAGAATTTAAGCAGTAAAAGGAACAGACTTCAGATAGAGTGGAAATGAGGGATCTGAACTCTTTTCTGTGTCCAATGGAGTCACTCACAGTGATCTTTATGTCAAACTCAAATATTGTAAGACTGGTTGTGGTGGTTGATGTTCTTGTTAATCATTTAATGAATGCTGATGATTTGATTAGTCAGTCATATTCTGGTTATACATTTTTTTTGCCACATGAGATAGATAAGTAAAGCCACAGATCTTCACAAACAGATGTGCTTAAATGATAAATTTCTAAGAACCAATTAAGAAATTAGTTTATACATACATAAATGGAAGAGGTTGCAGGTTTATTCTTTGTTCAGTGGTTTGATTTTGCCACAAGTGAAGTTATGAAAACTTGTAATGACAACAACTTTGTAGCCATAGCGAGTTCTAGTTTTGATGTCAAGAAGGAGACGCTTTCTAAAAGCATCATCAGATAAGTCAACAGGAAGTGGCTGTTAACACAAACTTAACAGTTTATTTTTCCATTAATGTTAATGTTGTTCAAACTGAAACATTTGTTTGAATCAATCTGTAAATGTTGCTACCAGCGTTCAAGCAACATGTCAAGTTAGAATTACTCTAATGGCATTATTCTGCTGTCTATCTGTCAGGGTTCACATGATTAATGAGAGCAGAGACTTTAAAGCATCAATCACCAAACTGTGTCCAGGTGTCCATTTTTGTAGGTGCAGTAAAGATAAAAAAGCAACACTTTCAGATTGTTGATGAACACTGACATATTTGCTTTTGTTTATATCTCACCATGAAGCTTCCAGTCACTCTGGGCTGAAACACTCCGTCAAAGGAACACATTGAGTAGGAGCAGTTGCTAAACGTGAAGATCTCTGTTACATTGTTGACACACTGCTGATAATTTCCTGAGCCCACCACTGTTACATTCCTCTTAGCATCCAAACTGGCTGGTTTGTATTTCTTTGTGCAAACAGAATCAAAGACATCTTTCCCAAGATTTATAGAAATATTAAATTTTGGTGGGTAGCAGGGGTTGATTACTTGATCCGGCACACCTTGAGTCTGAAAGGGGAAACAAAGATCAACATAATAAAATATGAATCAACAAACAAAAATGGTTAGTTTTTTTAAACAACTCTTTTTACAGCTGTTTTCTCGGCTACAGTCTTATAAAATTGTGAAGCATACACGGAATAGCAAAGCTTTGTGGGAAATGCAGATTCAACAGACTCTACATCTCTCACTTAACACATCATTGTTAAGGTTTATAAGTGTGAAATTAGAAAAACACTAAATATCTATAGCATATTTTGTAGGTCTGCCAAGAGAAAAGAAGAGAAACAAATTAACAATATGCTAGCTTAGCTTTGAAGGTGCATCTGAAGGAACTTTATGACACTTGGACAAAAGCAAATGTCTTTCAGACAGATGAAACCGAAGTGGAAATGTTTGGTTATAATTCAAAGCACTCAGTTCCTTGAATACTAAGCACATCACATTAGACCTCCTTTAATGGAGGGACAATGATCTCAGCTGGTTTTTCAGGCACCAGACCTGCATGTCCTATCAGATCACAGTTCTGCATTGAACATGCAGCCACAAACCCTCCATAAACATCACTTTGGCCTTGACAAGTGTGCTGTCAGACTTTATAGTAGTGGCATGATCTTTGATTCAAAGCAAGATCCTCATACAGAATATGCAAAAGCACTCAACTATTATCTTAAAGCACTAATTTCTTAGACCAGGCAGATCCCGGAGGATAACTGGTTTTCTCTGCTCTCTGAAGCTGCAGCACAATCTGCACAGCCTGTACAGTTTCTGTTCTGCACAATGTAGCAGTTGTGCTAAAATTCTGCCATTTATAGTTATGGGTTTGTTACTGACTCCCATAGTGGATTGGGGACTTCAAACTCCAATACTATGTTACACTTAAAGAACCCATGTGCAGCATGGAACAAAAGCATGATATGAAAGGAGCCACTGTATTTTTTCTCCAATATGTGAGACCATCTGTCTGACAGCTGAGACTTGACTGTATTTTCTGCAGGCAATGAAGCAATGTTGCCTGAAAAAGTGGGCCTTTCCTTTTAAAACAATGTTAGTATTATGAGGCTACACAGAAAACCATTAGTTCATAAACTGCTAAAAGTAGCTCTCCAAACTAGCATACTTCTAGGTGTACTCTGTGTGTCACACATCATATCTTTGTTTTAGACCTCCTTAAATGGTGGAGTGTTGTGTGATTTTGTACAGTTAAAGTCAGTTTAAAATCATTTTAGAACCTTTTGAAAACCAGAGAATTGTCTTTATACGGATAAATGGACACAATTAGAATAAGAGTGTTCTATCTACTCATCAGGACTGTAAGTGTGGAAGATTTAACTTTACAACAGTGATACCTGGATAAGATGAGCCAATAGTCTCTTGAGAAACTGGTCTTGACCATAGCACAGGAAGCTGTGTGTGTACAAAGTGTAGGTATTTCCATAAAGGGTCAGCTTCATTTGATCCTTTAGGTCCTCCAACTTTTGCGAGGTCTCGAATGTAATCTGAGTGGAAGCTCCACCTAAATCCATTGCTCCAATTGTGTTTCTTCCTGGATTCAGCCAATGTCCTACAAAACCATACTAAAAAGACAGAAAGCATTGTATTAAAAATCCTTGATGACAGTTAGTTTCTGTCATAAGCATTACAAATAAATAAGCACAAAGAAAAGATTATGTTAAGAAAATATTGCTGCAAGAAAAATGATTCTGAATTGAATTATTTCGTTCCTTTGACTAAAAATAAGCTGAAGCAATCATGATAGCATAATGCAAGTTAGTACAGTAGATACAGTGATTTTGCATTAGAATTTTCCAATTTGACACTCTCTTAATTCATCCTGGTTACCTTAATGAAGTTTTCAAGTAAGTAGTTGACGGTGACCCAGCCATAGGCGCCCTCTTCTTGCCCACTCAGAATTTTGGCCTCCTTAAACTGGAAAGGGTAGGAGCTCAGTTTGTCTCTGACTTCTTTCAGGACCTGCTCAGACTCTGTCTGATTGATCTCTCTATGAAAAATGGAGCGCAATGAGGAAAGAATAATAAATCTTTAAAGATGCTTTTTGATGTACACTTGAATGTGTAACCAATGGAGTAATTCAAACAGCAGAAAGAAATTATATGTTGTATTTAAGGAACAACACACTAACTTGAGGAGTCTCATCCCTGCTGTGGCACCCAGGCACAGGGGAGTCTGATGTTGTCTAGATTTGGGAATTTCCTTCAGGGCGTGATTCAAACACTCCTCCAAACTCTTGGCAGCATCACCTGGTTTTCCTGCATAGCTGGATATCCCGCCACCTGGGCAAGATCAAGACAGCAGTTAGAGACAAACTCAGAGTGAAAGTTTGCACTTCTGTATTATAAAGGATAACATGTGGTTTCCAAGGAAATCAGAAATTAACTTGAACGAGAAGGAGAAGAACTGAGAGTGACTAAAGTGCCCATAGCTGAAGTGGACCTTTAGGAAGTCAAGTCTTTCACAAGACATTGCACAAGTGTATATGCAAAGATTGACTTGATCATTTTGATCTGATGACACCATGGAAGTGAAAGCAGCTCTTCCTTCCCCATGATAGAAGGGGAAGACATAAGGCAAAGGTCATCAGGCTGGGACTCGAACCTGTGACAAGGACTAAGACCTCTCTCCATACATCGGTTGTGCTTTGACGCGAGGTCTCTGACTTTATGATGTTGATGCAAGACATTCACAGTGAGTACCAGCTTTTGTCTGCAGGCAGCATTGACCCTGAGAAAGCCCTACCAAGCACTCACTGAGAGGACGTGACATAGTACAGTTGGTATTGAACAAAAAGTGGCAGTGGTCAAACATTATGTCCAAACATAAACTTTCAGTCGTTCAGTTTTGGTTAGCTGTTTCAGCATGATGTGCTCACCTTTTGCGTCACATTCACTGTGCTGGGTAACAATACCAGTGCCATTTTGCTTGTCAGCTGGCCATTTGTAGATGAACATGGAGGTGTGGGATGAGCCGGCATCCAGTACAATCCCATACTGAAAGAGCCAAATCATTTAGTGTCAGAAGCATTTAGTAAGAGGTCAAACAAAGACTGAATGAGGTCTTTTGACAGCTATAATTTCATTTAATTTATTTTAAATTGTTATTTTACGTTCATAAACATTGAGTTCATTTTAAATATATATCTTGCTCTGTGAAGCATCTTGTTCATGAAGGCCTTTTAAGTGCACTTTAATTTACGGTACAATGTTAAATGTTCCACGTCCACATTTAATTTGAATTACTGGCCAACGTGGGTAACCAAAATGTGTACTTGCGTAATAGTAGCATTAGTTTATTTTACACCAACGTTAGAATGTAAAAAAATTAGCCATACAAGTCAGAGAAAAAAGCATTTGATAACAAGGCAACATATGTAAGTGACATAACATCTGATTTGCAGCACAAGATTGCGTCCATGCTCTGAAACTCCTCCTCAGCTTTTGACACTTAGGTGGGGTGATGCAGGATGTGGGTTAGTTGTGCTGTTTCAGTTAGTTTTCAATTGACCTTGCAAGTAAAAATTGTGAACCTCATGAAAAAAATGAAAAAAAAAAGCCAAATGTCTCATTTACTTATTTTGCAATGTCAACCAGTTATTTTTAGTCGGGGTTCCGCTCATTACCAGGGTTAACAATGTAAAAATGGGACAAATGTATAAATTTGATTCTCTGCAACAAATATGTACAAGTTGTCTCTGAGATGGAAAAAAAGATTAAAGATCTGATTACCCAAACAATGGAGAGCAAAAGCTTAGCAACTGTTTGTTGTTTTACTTCAGTTTGTCTTTGCTCCTTGTCAACTCTCTTTAACTTCCTTGCAGAAGACTTTTGACTTTTAAAATATGTATAGCATCTACAGTGTCAAACTCAAGACCCATGGGCCCAATTCGGCCTCCCAGGACTATTTCAAGATAACAGTTGTGTGCTTCGATACTATTTTACCAGTGAAATGACATCAGTTTTTGTCTAATACCATAGTGCTAAATTACCTTGGGAAGTACATCAGAGTAGTTTCAATGTTAAAATGTTCTTAATTTTCAGAAAAACTTATCGAATGCAGAGAAAGCTATAACGTGTTAACATTTTGGTAATTAGTTTTATTAATGTAATCTACCACCACAGGCCCTTTGAAGGCATTCATGGGCTTGATTTGGTTCAAAACGAAAATGATTTTGACACCCTCGATCTACAGCGTCTTGCTAAGATATTCACACTTTCATCATTTTCATACTTTTTCAGATAACAGCAGTGAATATAAATGTTTATTTGTTGACATTTTAATGAATAAATCAGTGCAAAAATGTAGTTAATAGTGTAATATAGGCAAACAGACACATGGTGTCTGTTACATGTTACTGGCCATTTGTAACATGTAACAGGGTTTAAAACAAATTTTCTAGTTTTAAACCTGTTTAAAACTAGAAAATTCTAGAATAAATTTAACCAGGACCTGCCAAAGTGTGCGCGTTGGTTTGGACCCAGCGTTCTAATGCTAAAAATTAGCATCAATGCTAAGCTTAACTAAAATGTAGTCAATAGCCTGTGGAGAATCGCAAGCATGTTCACTAACATGGACTTGAATCATTCAGGATGTTAAAATTAGTGTATAAGCTAAGATTAGCTAACATGCTAATGTCAGCTCAAATGCTATCAGTGGCATGTGGGATATCATTAGAACGTTATCTTAGATTGACTTGCTATATTCAGTGTCCTAAGCATGGCTAATAAGGAAGAAAAATAGCTAAAAGCTTATTTTTGGGAGAAGGCTAATCCTAATGCTCTGCCTTGCTGCGCAAAGCAGAGCCCTAACCAGAGAGAAAAAGATAATGCAGGCTAATCTTATTGCACTGCCTAAGGTGGTTCACTAATGGGGAGCAGTGAAATGCTAATGTTTGTGCTAATGTTAATGCTTTGCAAGTCAGTTACTGCTCTCCCTATGCATTGCTGGGGGCAGGCCTCAATAACAAGGAGCCAACGAGGATCAACACAATTCAAAGAGCCTAATCACAGGTGAGTGGGGACAGCTGAGGAAATGAGGCAATAGAAAACACGTGGGAAGAGGAGAAAGCGAGGAGAGAAAACAACAAAGCTGAGTTCCAAGAAAGGAAGAAGGAAACACAATTGAGACACAGAGGCCACATAGGAAATGAAAAAAGCTGAAACTAACAGAAATGATAAACAGAAAGCAACACTAATCTAAAGAAACAAAGCCAGAATTCAAATGATGACAATAAATTGACAAAAATAAAGAAAAAACTAAAATGGCAACAACAAAAAAATGAAAGCAGAAAGACAAATTAAAATTCAAACATCTGCAAAGTTTAAAATCAAGTTTGCTGTTGTAAAGTGACACCTAGATAGGAAAACATTTGCAACCAATTGAGATGTTATCAGACTTAAATAAATACTCTTCTTCACTTATTTAACCCAAAATAATTTATATATTTTTTGTAAATAATACTATAATACAGATTTAAAATAACAGTTGCAACAGAGATTAATCAATAATATTGAAAGAAACCCCACCATGTTGTCTGGAGGCATCGTCAGCTCTTTAGCTGGAAGGACCACCAGTAAAATCCCAATTAGTGCCAGAATCAACAGCACAGCAGCGCCGATGATTTGGGCGCGATAACGACTCATAGCTGAACGCTGCTGCAGGCTCTGTGTGGCTCAAGGCTCTGCAGGAAAAACTAACTGTGCACATTCATTTCTGTGGCTTTTTGATGCGTTCTTTGCACTGTGAAACATTGTGCTTCCTCTTTCCACCCACAACCTGCTCTCACAATTAGGTTGCATGCATGCTATTGACTAGTCATCAAAGCTCTCCCGGAAAGACCAAAGACATTTTTTTTCAGAAGAAATGGCTAAATGTTAAGAAAAGCTGTGGGCATCGTGAGGGAGGGCCTGCTTTCTGAAACAGTTTAGGGCAGGATTTTGTTTTGACGTCCAACATGGTGTTGTTTGAGGTACACCAAACCAAGTCTGTTTAAGTCTGTTTAATTGTTCAGTAATCAACAGTCCAGTCATGACTGAAAACCAGGCCATGCTGCTTCAACTTGGCAACTAGAACATTGAAAAAAACTGTGGTTGTGTTACAGCTGAATGACTGTGTAATTACATGCTTTCATTTGGCCTAAAGTTTAGGCAAATTTTCATGTTTTTATGAAAGCTGCACAATGCCTGAGGAGCAAAATGAGAAAGATGCTTAACTCAATGTGATCACTTGTTTTGTTATTTTTAATAAATTTACAAAAATTGTAAATACTTTTTTCCGCATTGTCATACTGTGGTATAAAGAATACGACTGTAACACAATGCGGCAATAGTGAAGTACTGTGAATACTTTTTGGTTTCACTGTATGTGTTAGTTCTTAGTCTAGGCACCAACAGGAGACTGAGGGGAGCTGAGCTGTCGGACTGAAGCCTGTCTGACAAACAGGGAGAGCTGAGACTGTTAAGAGTTTACAGTCTTTTAAAATCTCCTTAAAATTAATGTCCAAGAAAAACTCTGAGGCCTGATTAACTGAGTGAATTGCAACTTTCATCCCCACAAGCTAAAATGTATTGGAGACCAGTACAATACATTTTACACTATACTTCATAACACTATACTTTATAATTTTTTCAGTCAACTTTCACTCTTTGTTTAAATTGCTCTCAGATCACACAGCATCCAACACTGCAGCCTGAGGGGCTGCGAGTGTCGAGGTGGCACTGGTGATTGCCTGAACAGAATGTTATTTTTGTTTTAAGGACTTTGAAGGACTGATCCATGCCTTCATTACCACTCGTCTGGATTATTATAATTCTTTATATAGTGGCATGGTTAAATCACAGATTCATCGACTTCAAATGATCCAGAATGCAGCGGCACGGCTTCTTACAGGAACCAGGAAGCATGACCATATAAGGCCTACGCTGGTCAATTTACACTGGCTGCCTGTTATGTATAGAATAGATTTTAAGATTCTTTTATTAACTTATAAAGTTTTAAATGGGTTAGCTCCCCCTTATCTTCAGGATCTTTTAAAATTTCAGCCTGTGTTCAGAACCCTCAGATCAAACAATCAGCTTTTACTTCCAGTCCCTCGGACCCGACTAAGGAAAGGAGATCGGGCTTTTTCTGTTGTTGCTCCTAATTTATGGAACAATTTGCCTTTTCAGATTAGATCTGCTAGCAGCCTGGATCATTTTAAATCGCTTCTCAAAACTCATTTTTATTCGTTGGCTTTTAACTGAAGCAATTTTTTGATATTCTGTTTTATCTACTTGTGTTACTGTCGTTCCTGTGCAGCACTTTGGTGCAGTTTTATACCTGTTTTAAAGTGCTATATAAATAAATTTGACATTGACATTGACATGTTGGTTGGGTGAGGGGAGCTAGAGGGGTTAATACACAAATGGCAGAGTGGTTAAGAGGTCAGCAACATAATTCTACAAAGATTAATCAGCAGTGTCCAGGTTGAAGCCGCCCAACTGACTGCCTGATGTTTGTTTTCCAAATGCTGGCTCCTCCCCCTAAACAATTCCACACTGTAAAAAAAAAAAATCTAAGAATGTCAGCATGTCATTTATCTCTTCTTATTCACCACATGTATCTACAACTAAAATCCTATTGTACCTGAAGATGGCAGTACATTCCACCTGTTGGACATAAAGGAAGCCAAGAAAATCCAAGATGACACCCTACACTTCTGCCTGTAGGAAAAAAGAATACAAAGCAACAAGACTTTGTATTCTCAGCAAAACAGGGAACCAAGAAATCACAAAGTTGTTGCATATATAATAACAACATGACTGAAAAGCAGCCAGATTTTATAAGATATTTCCATTGGCACCAGCAGCCCAAGATAGTAAATCTGTGAACGCCTGAACCCAAACACCAAAAAACTGATTCTAATAGAAATGGACATCCTATTTGTTTTCTAGCTGAAACTTGAAAATTACACAAAAACAGCTTGAATAATTTGACTATCAGAAAAAAATTTCAATCTATTTATTCACTGAGTGTAGAAAGCAAAACTCATATCAAAAATTATATAATTACATATTAAAAAATTATTAGCCTTTATATCCTGTAGTTTGATGGTTATGGATTACAGATAATGAAACTCCAAAATTCAGTGTCTCAGAAAATTGGAACATTATAACAACCTTATAGAATCCTTTATAGTATTCTATTAAACTGTGTGGTAGGAAAAGGAGCACCATCAACAAGGAAAACCACAGTCTTGCAAGAACTGTCAAGTAAAATTTATTCAAGAATTTAGAGAAGTTTCACAACAAGTGAACTGTGTCAGAACAGTGCGTGAGTGAGTTTTGGTTTGAGGGTGACTTCCAGCTAACATCCTGGTAGCCTTCTGTAATGAAGAGGCCTTCATTACTGAATTAATTTATTCAATGTATTGATAGCACTGTAAAAACATTTGCACTTTCTCACTATGCACTTTATTTAGCACTGCACTTTTAAATAGATCTATAAATTAATAACATTTTGCACTCAGGAAGTTTTAATTGTATTTATTGAGTATTTTAGGGATTGGTGTGTAGCCTTTGTTCTGGGCTCTGTACAGCTGCTCCTCATTGGCCAATGGACCTCCATTGGCCAATGTTAACTGTGAAGAGAGGAGAATTGATACTCAGAGCAATGAGCTATTGGTGGATAAAACTAAGTAAATGATGTTGCATTTACGTTTACATTTTTGCAATGTTGCCAAGGTATTGGTATTGTTGCATTGTAACTGCATTCTTTCATGAATGAAAGTTTAAATAATGATTGTTGTTTTTTTAATTTAAAAAGGAGCAATGCACATAACAGAGGCTAGTTTTCATCTGTAGTGCCTCCCGATGCAAACAATATAAATACAACAGATTAGAGTGCAATTTAGCAAGTTTATAAAAAAAAAAGAGAATAGTAACAATATTAAAATTAAGAGAAGTTCAATTTCAGGGATAATCTCTTACATTATGTAGAAACCAGCCTTGACTCACTGACGTAAACTGGCCCTCTGCATGCAGATTAGCTGAAATCTGACTCTTAAACACACCTTCAGTCCTGATTGGTGCGGTGCATATTAGGCCAAACACAACATGCACTTTTTGCAGTGTTCCTTATGACACTGAAAATTCTCCAGGTTGTCCTGCAGACCCAGGGCACAAACAGGGTGTTCACACCTTATTAACTTTTACAACATGCATTTGTCGGCCCCAGACCCCTCTCTTTTTTCTTCCCCTTTGAAGTGACCTTCCCTATCAACTGAGGTATTAGAAAACATTCAGAGTTTTCTCTGATAAAGGTGAATTAAGGATATCTACCTGCACATACACAACACCAGTTTGGAATAGATAAAAAAAAACATTATACAAACCTCTGTGGAAATGGAAGGTGTTTTTCTTTTTTGGAGTGGGGGAGGATTGTAAAATTTAGGCTTTTTTATAGCTTTATATTATGACACAATGCTATTTTCTCATCAAAAACATACCTGGATTTTGTTCTTTCAAGTCCAGGTTAGGCACCAACCATTTAGTGAAGCCTAAACACCTGCTCTTACACACCACTCTCTCTCTCGCGTGCCCAGTCTTCTTGTCTAGAAAACTTAATCAATTGTGCTGAGAGATCAGCTGACGAAAGCCATGCTTTGTAGTTTGAAAAATATTAAAGAGAAGCTCCAAGAACAAGCACAAAAGACAGAGCAAAAAGAAGGGAAACGGTGGGAAAGAACAGAGCAGAGAAAAGAAAGTATCTGCCTTTACTGAGCAAAAATAGAATGCTCTTTGGCAGAAGGTCTTGTAAGGCAACATAAGACCATCAGTTTGTGATCAGTGATGTGAAGCATTCTACCAGTCAGGCTGGTAACATCTGGCCTTAGACATCCTGTTGAGTTTGACAGAGTGTAACAGACAAGCAAAAAAGAGAGAAAAGAGCAGTGGGATAAGCGCATTCTCAACACTGTATAGCATTTAATCCCAATTAGCTTTTTCATGCTGGAAACAGCATGAAAGTTAACAAGAAAAAAAGTTTCATTTTTGTCATTTGACATCTGCTTTTAAAAGTGACTCTGTGTTCCTAGCATGTGGATGCAGTTACAGCTTGCATGGATTGCTTCACTTTTGTTTTGAAAGATGTTTCCCCTTTTTTGCTGCGCATGAAAAACTGCTGTTAGCTACAAAAGGAATGTAGAGAGAGGTGATTAAAGGAGTAGAGTGGAGGTGATATTTGGGGGTTGAGGGAGAAGAGGTGAGTCGGTATGTGAGTGGTGAAAGTACAATTGTGCATAGAAAAGTGAGGCTCTAACAGCCCAGTTGGAGAAACTGCTGTGTCATTGTTTTGCATGCATGGTCTTCTGTTATTTTTGTCAGTCACTAATCACTCTCACATACTTAAGTCTGGACAAAGATCTTGGTTATTTTAGCACCTGTAAAAACTCAACAGTAAAAGAATGTCAGCCTGGAATTGAAGGGTTAGCAGGCTTTCACCCTACCTCTGTGGTGTTTGCAGGAAAAAACACAACAAACATTTTTGCTTTCAAACAATTTTGAAAAACTGAGATTTGCAATCTCAGTTCGCAGATTGCAAAATTGTTGGTTACATAAAAATTCAACAGTTGCAGTTCAGTTCAGTTTAATTAATTTTCTTGATTTAGCACCAATTCAAAACAACTGCCATCTTAACACACTTCACAAAA